ATTAAAGATAAGATTTTAAGATCTGAGCAGGGCAGTGGTGGCACATGGCCTTTAATGCCAGGACTAGGGAGGCAGAGGCAGGCAGATATCTGAATTCAAGGCCAGCACAGTCTACAAAGTAGGTTCCAGGACAATTCCAAAGCTACAGAGAAACTGGCTGTGGCTGTACAGAGCTGAGCAGTTCAGAGCTTGCTGCAGTTTAGAGAGCTTGCTGCTCTTTTTGTTTTCTGTCTTTGTGTGTGTGTGTGTGTGTGTGTGTGTGTGTGTGTGTGTGTGTGTGTGTTTCTGTTGTTGTTTTGTTTTTCTAAACAGGGTTTCTCTACTGCACTGAAGCCTGTCCTGGAACTAGCTCTGTAGGCCAGGCTGGCATTGAACTCACAGAGATCTGCCTGCCTCTGTCTCTGCCTCTGCCTCCCCAGTGCCTGGGTTGAACTTGCAGCTTTTACAGAAGACCAGAGTTTGGTTCCCAACCATGCGGCATGTAGCTCACAGCCACCTGTGACTCCAGCTCCAGATCTGACACCCTTTCCAGGTCTCTGGGAGCACCCACACACCCACTTACCACAGACACATTAAAACTGAAAATAATTGTTTTGAGTTGGCTGTGTGAAATATAAATTAAATACCAGACAAAAGAGTATGCCTGTTAAGCCAGGTGTAGGTGGCTCACGCCTTTAATCTCAGCACTCTTGGAGGCTCAGGCAGGCTGGTCTACAAGAGCTAGTTCCAGGACAGCTTCCAAAGCCAGAGAAACCCTGTCTTGAAAAACCAAAAAACAAACAAAAAAAGAGTATCCCTGTTAGTTGTAAACCTAACCATCTCTGATGGTTCGCCTCCGTTGTCAACTTTAATTTACAATCTCCTTGGGAATGCATCTGAGTGTCTACGAGGATGTTTCCAAAAGGTTTAACTGGAAAGGGGAAGACTGCCATGGGCTAGGACTAGATCTGAATGAGGACAAAGTAAGCTAATGCCAGCATTTGTCACACTCAGCTTCTTGACTACAGACTCACTGCCACCATGCCTCTCCACGATGAGAGTCAGTATCCCCTGTAAGAGGTTCTCATGTGGGTTTCAACCTATTTAGGGGTCGTATATTAGATATTTACATTATGATTCATAAAAGTAGCTAAATTAGAGTTATGAAGTAGTGATAAAATAATGTTATGGCTGGGGGGGGGTCACCACAACAAGAGGAATCTATATTAAAGGTCCCAGCATTAAAGGTTGAAAACCACTAATCTAGAAATATAAACCAAATTAAATCTTTCTCTTAAATTGCTCCATGTCAGGTATTTGGTTAAATATATATTTTTTTCTATATAAATTCTATGTTAAATATTAAATTTTATATATTAAATGTTACACACACACACACACACACACACACACATATATATCTGGCATTGTTTACAGTTTATTTTTCCAACTTATCATCTTAATGAAGGGGGCAGCAGTGTTAGTTTGCCTAACATACACAAAGCCCCAGGTATAATCCTCAACACTGGGTAGTGGGGGGTGGGCTAATGTAGCTGCCATGGTGATACATCCTTTATCCCAGCACCTGGGAGGCAGAATTAGAGCCTGGTCCGAATACTGAGTTCAGGCTAGAGTTCAATACCAAGGCCCAACAGTTCAAGCTGAAACAAAAACAAAATCTTAGTAAAGGATAACATAACATGAATTCTAGTTGGCCTTAATAATAGAAACCTGAAGCCAACTAGAGGGGTAAATGCTGAAAGATCAGAGAAACAGAGCAGTCAGCCAGCTCTTACCTCTACAGAATCCTTGACCTAAATGCAATGGGTGATCTCTAGGAATCATCAGACTGAATTCACTGAGCTTCTGTCTCCTCCCACCTTATATTCCTCTCGCCAACCAATCATATCACTTCTGTCTACGCCTCCCTAGTGCTGGGATTAAAGGTGCCTGGCTAAACTTTACTTGTTAAAGCACAAACAAAATATCACCAGAAGGGAAATAAGCACATGGTGTTCCATGCATTCCAGCCTCTAAGGAACAGAGGGGGACTCATTTATAGCTTTTGTGTTTAATAATGAGAAGCTAAATCTGAAAGAAAAAAAAAGTTAAAAAATAACAACCTGGCACTCGTTACCATGAAGACAGATTTCTATAAACCTAAACTGTAAAGATACATATGTTACATGGCTCTAAAATACTTATGTACAGATATTTTTGGAGATTCCATTGTTTTTTTTGGGGGGGGGTCTGTCTTTTTTTTTTTTTTTTTTTTGAGACAGCAATTTTCTGTGTAACAGCCCTAGCTGTCCTGGAATTAGCTCTGTAGACCAGGCTGGCCTCCAACTCACACAGAGATCTGCCTGCCTCTGCATCCCAAATGCTGGGATTAAAGTCATGCCCCACCACCATCTGGGGGAAAATAGTAGGATTTTTTGGTTTTTTTTCAAGACAGGGTTTCTTTGTGTAACAGCCCTGACTGTTCTGGAACTCATGCTATAGACCAGGCTGACCTTGAACTCACAGAAACCCACCTGCCTCTGCCTCCTAGTACTGGGTGGAGTTAGAGGAGTTCACCACCCAGCTATTTCAACAATTGTAATATTACAAGACAATTGCAAGGAAAGGAAAGACAGTTTCTCTAACACCTGCACCTAATCTTACTCATCTTCTCTTGGAACTGTGTCAGCACAGCTAACATTTTCTCCCTCAGATTTTAAAATAGTGTAACTATTGTAATCTCTAAAGTGGTTCAATGTTTATGACTTAATCCCATTTCCAGAATACTCTGTTAACTCACCCACCATAAGGCTCCCCAGGAGTCCACATTATTACAGAGTTCCAAAAACAACAATTAATCCCCTTTATATTTGGTTTTTCTCTCTCTGTCTTCACAATACAGTTTTTCTTTCATCCACTTTTTATTCAGTTTACGTTGCTATGCCTGCTGCCCATGAGTAGAAGCTACTCCTGCTTCTCTGAGTGGGAAGACTCTGTTCATTGCCCTCAAACCCCCATCTCAATGGAGGCCCAGTGGTTCAACTGTCAAAGAGGAAATGGGAGGGGGGAATTTCTTATTGTCATTCTTCCCTCAGCCCTCAAGCACCTACTGCAAGGAGTATATTCAATAGAGACTCAAAAATGGTTTCCCATAAAACTGTCCCATATAAACTAACAGAAGCCAGATGGTAGCTGGTGGGCAATGGGCTACTTTAAGTTAGGTACTGGGCTGCCTCTCAGATACAGTGCGAAAGGGGATGAGGCAGGGGCTCTTAATTGAGTGGAAGACTGCATGTGACTGGACTTGCTCTTTACCTCTTGGCTGTTTTGTCAGAATCAGAAAAAAACACATGGACTCCAGCACCTAAAGGAGTTACCAATAAACAGAAGGAAACAGGGACATGGTGGGGGGGGGGTTTCCAAACTAACAACTAAAACAAAACACACACAAAAGGAGGAGTGCCGGGTGGTGGCGCACACCTTTAATCCCAGCACTCTGGAGGCTGAGGCAGGCAGATCTCTGTGAGTTGCAGACCATCCTGGTCTATAAGAGCTAGTTCCAGGACAGCCTCTAAAACCATAGAGAAACACTGTCTCGAAAAACCAAAAAAAAAAAAAAAAAAAGGAGTACTCACAATGAATAAAAAGTGTACTTCAAAACATCTGACATACCAGTTCGGCAGTGGTGGCGCACACCTTTAATCCCAGCACTTGGGAGGCAGAGGCAGGGGATCTATGTGACTTTGAGGCCAGCCTGGTCTACAAAGTGAGTTCCAGGACAGTCAGGGTTGTTACACAAAGAAACTGTGTCTCTGAAAAAAAAAAAAGAAAAAAAAATTTTTTTTTTGACAAAATAACCAAGGAACTACTAGGAAAGATCAACAATGGCTTCTTTTAAAGTAAAGGGTTGGGGGGGGGGGTGCACACGTTTAGTCCCAGCACTTAGGCAGAGGCCAGCCTGGTCTACAAAGCAAGTTCCAGAACAGGCTTCAAAGGTACACAGAGAAACCTTGTCTCAAAAAAGAAAACAAAAACAAAAAAATTAAAGTGTTAAATCTCTAATCTCCATGACTGAAATTCCTTTGTTTTATTCCAAGTATCTTAAAAAGTATTGTCAATTAATTGTTTAAGAGATTAAAACAAAAGAAGAGGAAGAGACCTAAATGATATTTAAATCTTCATGGTTAGAGTTAATAATTTAAAATGTCCAGAGGGAAAAAAGCCAACAAAAAAAAGAAAACCTTCCATAGCAAACTGATACACTTTCCACATAGATTTGGAATTTAACCCAACTTTAGAAACACTGGAAAAGCTGTAGGCAATTTTTAAGGAAAATAAAATTACACTGAAAGAATTTACATTCAAGTTACACAGCTTGGTTAGTTTAACAACCCCATTGATAAAACAGAATTAACACTCCATGTCTATTCATAAATACAAACCGGACAGAATACAGGGATTCCAAACCTGGGACGAGAAACGTTAAATTATTAAAGACTAAAGTTGTCCTCTATCAGGAATTTTTTTTGGGGGGGAGGGGATTTTCTCCTTGGTCACCCTTATTGTTCAGACAGGACTGTTAAAGGGGGAAAATGTAAATAGCTGATGGCTAGTCTAAATTTTACACGGTTTTTTTTTTTTTGGGGGGGGGTGCGTAGTAACATCAGGGTGAGGCTCACAGCATCCTCCTGCCTCGGTCACATCAAATTCTTCGGAGGAATCAGGGACAGCGGCGACAACCACACCCCTGAGGACCGCGAGCAGCCGGCAGGTTTTACTCTAAGCAGCATTCCCAGGCTTACCACACCCCCTGGGCTACACGGGGAACCGGACCGATTTCAGGGCGCGATCGCCGCCTCACGCCCCCTCCCGCACGCAGGCGACTCCCAGCTTCCGCCTCGCTCCCCCGCCGCCTCCGGCACCCAGCGACCACCGGCCTCCGGCGCCCGCCCCCGGTCCGCGGCCGAAGCCTCCGGCTCGAGGGCGCGCCCCCGGCCCCGGCCCCCGCCGCCGCCGCTCACCTGGCCGCCGGCTCCTCCCTCGCCTGCCCGGCCGGCCGGCCGCCGCCTGGGAGCAAGCGCGGGCCGCGGGAAGTCCGCTGAGGAGGGGGAGGGGGCGGGATGCCGGGAGCCGCCTCCTTTCTCCTGGCCGCCGGCTCCCGCAGCCAGGCCGCGCGTCGTCGCCCGCTCGCCCACTTTCTCACGGCCTCGCGGGTGTCGGCCGGCTCCCCCTCCCCCCCACACACGCTCACGCCCGGCCGCCGCCGCCGCCGCCGCCGCCGCTCCCTCACTCGCCTGTCGCTCGACCGCGCGCGCGCGCGAGACCCCGCTCACACCCCACACGCGCACACACACACGAACACACACACACACACACACACACACGCACGCACGCACACACCAGCGCGCGACGCCGGCGAGGCCGCCCCGCGTCCCCCCCCCCAGACCCAGGCGCCGCGCGCCCCCCGCCCGAGCCGAGGACCCGCGCGGCCCCGCCCCCCTGCGCCGCACTCGCGGGCGGGGGGCGCGGAGCGTGGAGGGGGGCGGGGCCGCGCGCGCGCCCCGGGGCGGACGGGCACCTGCGAGGGGAGCCGCGGGGCGCGCGCGCTCGCGAGGGGGGCCACGCGGGCGCCCCGAGGACGCGCGCCTTCGCCACCCGCCCCCAAACCGTCCTCTCGGAGCCGGGGAAACGGGTGGGGGGGCGAGGGGGCTTCCGCTCGGCACCGCGAGAGTAGGCCCTGCCGTTGTGCGCCCTCCCGCCCGCGCGGCCCCCTCTCGGGGCTGCGGCCGTGCGCGCTTTGATGCCCGCCGAGCCCCCCCCCCCCCGCGCGAGGTCTGGCCTGGGGACTCGGGCGGCTCGCGGTGGCGCCAGCAGTCCTCCCTGGCGTCCTGCCTCACCAGAAGGCAGAGATTTGGGGGACAAAGATGATGGTAACGGCAATAGTCCTGATCCGCGAGTGCGCCGAAGACAATGCCGCTCCGTAGGGGAAAGGCGCGTTAACTGCAGCCTCAGCCCAGCGTGCTCCTGGCGCTAAGGAGGCTGAGGCAGGAGGATCACAGGCGACAAAAGAAAATAAACGATATCATAAATTCTGTGACTGGGCAGGTTCAAAGGCAAGACTGGGAAGCTGGAGCCAGCTCAGCCTTTTACAAACCAGTATGAACATACAAAGGAGTTCCTTGAGTTGATGTTAGAATAAACACATCATACATTTAGGAGCATTTCCTTATTTAAAAAAAAAAAAAAAACTTACAAAAATCATTGTCCAAAAAAGAAACTAACATTTGACCGTCCTTCTTTATGTTGAAAATTCATTCCCAAATAACTTCAGTCACCAGCAATCCCAGATAGGACCTATAATTCAAGCAGCTCCTCACCCCCATCTCAAATCATGTCAGCCAACAATTTCTGTGTCTCTAATCATTTCATCGTCTTGCCAGTCCTGAAGACCAGCAGCGGTTCTCAACCCGTGGGTTTCTACCCTTTGGGGGACAAACGACTCTTTCACAGAGCTCGACTGACAGCACTGGAAAACACATTACAATTCATAACAGTAGCACAATTACAGTTAAGTACCAACGAAAATAGTTTTATAGTTGGGGGTCACCACAGCTTGAGGAACTGTATTAAACAGCATTAGAAAGGTTGAGAGCCACTGGCCTAGAAGGTGGGAGAGAAAAAAAAATGCTCAGTGGGTAAATACAGGCATCTGTACACCTCTGCCAAGCAAGAGGACCAATTCCCACAAGTGTGACCTCTGTCTGCCTCTTTCTCTATAGGGGTGTATACAGAGTTGTATACGTTTTAAGTGCTGTACCATAACTTGGAATGACGGAAGCCACACTGCTAACACTAATTGTTGGTTCCACTCACTATGTGACCTCCTCAAATAGATTCACCTCCCTGTACCTTAGCCCGTTTGCCTGAAAAAAGAAAAAGTTATTTTAAAAAATGAATTACCTACTTTATTTAGAACTGAATAAGGAGCTAGTAAGCACAGCAGTTCCTCCATATCCATGGTAACTGGACCCAGGACTCTCTTAGGGGTATTCAAGCTCCATATATAAAATGGTAGGTAGTGTTTGCATATAACCTACACACATCCTAAACCACTCTAGATGATGCCTCACTGAATACAACAAATACCATACAAGTGACCAGAGAAAGCACCTGAATACATTTGGTACTGATGCGATGTTTTCAGTCTACAGTTGGTTAAATCCAAAGAAGTCTGACTGTACCTCCTGACAGATGCCTGCTTGTTCTTCATTATGCCATTGACAGCAACCTAAGAGAGTGAACCCTCTTCACAAAGGACACATTTAGAGGAGCAAACGTGCTTCATGGAATATTGCCCTCAGGGAAGGGAAAAGGGAAAAAAAAAAAAAAAAAACACAGGGAAGGGGCTGCTCTGATAGCTTCCTGGGACACAGAGCATATTTTACTGAAAGGCTATGCTTTCTTTAAGTGTTTGTAATAAAGGAAAACTTGATCACAACGAAAATTTAGCAGACACACACATACATGTGGGTGTGTGCCCATGTGTACGTATACACACACACACACACAGAGAGAGAGAGAGAGAGAGAGAGAGACTGGCTGAGAGAAAAGTTGCATAGCATAAATAGCTTGTTCCTTCTACTGTAACACAATCCGATTGATAGTAACTGTATACCTTCCAGGAGAAGGAGGTTGTGCAGGTGAAGCTGAAATACAGTAGTCTCTCAACTCACTGGCAACTTAAAAATGCTATCTATCATCCACCACATTGCAATTCCCTGCCGGATATCTGAGTGTATACATTGTGGTGATACTTTGTTTATGATCTAATACATAAAACTTGCCTGAAGATCAGAGTGCAAAGCTTGACACTAGTTAGTCATAGTGGCCAGGCAGTGGTGGCCTTTAAACCCAGCAGCCACACTAATTAGCCAGGTAGAGGCCAGGTAGGGTGGTGGTACACACCTTTAATCCCAGCACTCATGAGACAGAGGCAGATGGAGCTCTGTTAGTTCAAGGCCACTCTGAGGGGGGGCTGAAGAGATGGCTCAGTGGTTCAGAACATTAGCTGATCTTCCAGAGATCCTGAGTTCAATTCCCAGCCACATGGTGGTTCACAACCATCTGGGTGCCCCGCTTCTGGCCTGCAAAGATACATGCAGACAGAACTCTGAGCTACATGAAATTGATACAGTCTAAAAGAGAAACAAAAGGTAATCTCAGCACTTGGGATCCCAGGCCTTTATAAACCCAGCACTGAAGAGAAATATAAGGTAGGTTTGGTGGAGACAGATGCAATCTGAGCACAGGATAGAAAGCCCCTTTATAGTCTGAGCACTGGTAGAGGTGAGAACCAGAATTCGTGCTGCGTACAATATTGGTTTTGATGTATGCTAAAAAGGACAAAAGCAAAGCTGCTTTTAAAAACAAAGCCAGCTGGGCGGTGGTAGCACACGCCTTCAATTCCAGCGCTTGGAAGGCAGAGGCAGGTGGATCTCTGAGTTTGAGACCAGCCTGGTCTACAAGAGCTAGTTCCAGGACAGCCTACAAAACCAATAAATAAATAAGTCAATAAAAATAAAAAACAAAGCCAGTGGATGGCCCCATTGTCTTAATAGTTAGTGCATTTATACATTTAGCAAAAAAAAAAAAAAAAAAAAAAGGACTAAGACACACATAAGGGACCTGGAAAATACTGGAAAGTAAAACAAAGGCTATCCCCAAAGCTTAATGCTAAAAAAGAATGCCAGCATTTTGGTCTATATCCTTTGGAACTTTTCCTTAATCATATGTGAACAGTAAAATATACTATGTTCATAAAAGTCCCTTGAGGAGTTGATAAAGCAAGTATGATAAACTGCAGAGTATTAAATGTTATACGCAAGCTACAAGCAAAAACCTAGGGCTAATAGACCATTTTCAGTTATTATGTATGCCTTATATATAGTAATGGGCATGTCATACAAGCTGGTACATAGCTTTGCAATATCCAACTCTTAAACTGCAGTTCTTAGAACTGCTTTGTGGACTTTTAGAGACAATGCAAGATTACTCTACTTCAGTTTAGGATATGACTTATTTTAAACTGTTATATTGTTGGAATACTTAGAAGAACAAATATTCATTTAACTTTTTTGGATGGAGAGACAGCCATGGGTGCCGAGAACCGAACTCTTATATTTTTGGTTGTGAGACTAGCCTTTAATGGCTGAACCACCTCTCCAGCCCAATCATTTAACTGTTTTGAATAAAGTGATGGTGCTCAAATCACCATTCCCATCTGGGAAACCAAGCCTAAGGGCAGCCATACCTGATTCAGTCACATCACTGAGGCTTCATGCTTGGTTTGCTTAAACAGCTATGTGTCCTATATCCTTTAAGATATGCTTTACTATAAGTATTTTGTGTAGTTTATATTGGCTTAATTATATACCCACTAGGCTTTGTTTTCAAGACAGGGTTTCTGTGTAGCTCTGGCTACACAGAACTCGCTCTGTAGACCAGACTGGCCTCAATTCCTGCCTCTGCCTCCCAAGTGCTGGGATTAAAGGTGCACACCACCACTTAACCTCCCCCCCCAATTTTTTTTAACTGTTAGTTTACTTGTATGCATTTTTTTGCCTGTATGTCTGTGCACTACCTGCATCCATGGGATTACAGATGGTTGTGAGCCACCATGTGAGGGTTGGGAATTGAAGCTGGGTTCTCTAGGAACAACCAGTGCTCTAAACTGCTAAGCAATAATCTCCAGCCTCCCAACTCATTTTATACTGGTGAGTTAATATCTTTCTGAAGGTTAAAGGTCAGCTAAATGTTCTGGAAAGGCAAACTAGGTAATGCTACAACCCTGGAATCAGATAAATCTTATTTTAAACCCCAGCTTTACTTACTGGTTATACAGGACCATTGCTTATTAACCTCCACAAACCTCATTTTCTTTTGCATCAATGAGATAAATATCTTATTAGCACTGATTTATTAAATCATGAGGATTAATGAAATTACCCAAACTTAATACAGTTTAACATAACTCAAGCATATCAAGAACTCAGTAAATATTGACTATTATTCAACCTGATAGCAAAATAGCTAAGTAGCAAAGAAAAATATTTTTAGATATGTGTGACAGCAATACAAATAATTATATTTGAATGTGTGCCCATGGGTGTGAAACCAATAAATGTTATCTCTGTCCAGTTGGATCTCATGGGTCTGTGGAGAGAGTTTGGAAGT